ATAACACCGTTAATTCTCCGGCAACGACGCCAAAATTTGATCACGCCCAACTATGCCTTATAAAAAGGACTAAGCGGACGTTGCAAATATAATCTGAGTATTTAGCCCAGAGTCGAACCCACAAGGAATTAACCTATCAATTACTCTTGTTAGACTCTCTAAATTCTACGTAATCAACTTCCCAAACGTTTTGAATAACAATTGAGGATATTTTTACTAACTATAACTGACTGCAATTAAGTAAATAAAGACTAACTATGATTAAGTTGTAAACAATTAAGAGAAGGATCTAAGGTTATGATTTCCCCTATTGATAGAATCCCTTCCTGTTATGTTTCACATAGATTTGCCTAATCGTCTCTATCGATCATGAGCACTCTTATTACCGTAAATCTCTCCCGAGTAATCACGAAAATTTACTAGACGCACTCTCCCGAGTTACGCTAGCTGGCTTTTAGTACAGCTCACTTTAGATCGCACCCAAGGCTTCGTTATCCCTAATCCCGCCTTTAAACCCTCGGTTATTGATTCCTCATATACTTTGGGAGTGGTATTGTTCAACAATGACCTATATATGCACTCTCTCCCGAGTAATACATACTAAATAGGCACAGCTAATTGAGGATCCTATCAATTAACTACAATAAGAACATAGTTGAACAAATAGAGATTAAACCGGGGAAACTATATTAACATAACACGAAGTTCATCCTTCAACAGGTTCCATCAAAACCCTAGAATAAATATTTAGCTACTCATACTAGTGTTCATCATAACAATAGCCAAATTCATCACAAATGGTAAAATACAAAAGGAAGAACTCGATGTTGAATTACCCTCCTTGCCTCTTGCCTCTCCTTGCCTTCAACTAAGCTGTAAAAACCTTGATAATGTCCCTTTGGGCGAGCTGGACCTCTTATAGGTTAAGTGGAATTACCCCCGAACTTCCAAGTTTACCCCTGACTTGTATTTTTCTGAACTGGACTAGCGCGATCGCGCTAGTGGGCGCGTTACTGACCGCGCATATGGCATAACATTCTGCCTCGAACTCCCGGGCTAGCGCGGTCACGCTAGTGGGCGCGCTAGTCTGGGTCATCATTTCAGCCTTTCTTTCTCTCTTTTTTCAACGTGCTCAGCTCCGAGGGGCTTCCTTTGCTTCAATTTTAGCTCCAAATACAGTTCTAAGTCCTCATACACGCAACTGGCTCCTGCAAAACATGAAATTCACAATTAGAGCCAATTTATCATCATTTAACTATCCTATAACAGTGAAACATAGTCAAGCTGGGGCATAAACAGTCGCCAAATTATATGAATCTAGCCTATTATCAACTTCACACCATAACAAAAAAAGGCCAATATTTTTAAGTTTTACCCGACCTAACCCATATTGTACATAATTTGAAAACAGTAGCTCTTGCAAATTCAAAATATGTGTTCTTACAACCATTGCTTCTAAAAGCTATGGAGTTAAATTTGTGTTCTCACAACTATTGCTTTCACTCTCTCTTTTTCTCACATCTTTTACATATGCTTCAAGGGGCCGTCTGCCATTACTGCTTCTCCCCCTATGTCACCTAGTTGCAATGTAAAAAATTTGAAGAGTAGAAGTCCACCATTGAAGGCCATTCAAATCTTTGCTATCGAAAATAGGACTTCTTGAGTTTGTTAATTGTTTGGATTGGGTGTTGTTCCAATTGATTGAAAATATCAAAATGAGTTCAAAATTTAAATTTGAAGTGATTTGGAGTAGATTTGAGCAAGGTTTGAGTTAAATTTCAGAAAAGACGCAAGGAAGAAGACGAAGTCAGTTTTTTGTATAATTATGTATAATAGTGTATATGAGTGTATAAATACATCTTATACACTATTATACACTTTTATACACCTTTATACAAGCGTATGTAGACGAACTTTTTCCACGATTTTCAGTTGCAATTCTTGTTCAAAACCAGTCCAAATCTCCATCAAATGACTTCAAATTTTGTATACAACCTCCTTATACTATCTAACAAGTCTAAATAACACCCACTCCAAATTTCTTACAAAATCAAATTTGGAATTTAAACCCACATATTTAAGCTTGTTAAAAATCTATTTTTCACCACCCAAATGGATTTGGTTTGTTGAACTGATATTTGAGTCACAGTTACTGATTCGAAAATTAACTTAAAAGCTTGAGCAATCTTTTTTAAAAATTAAATAGTAATTTAACCTATTGGAGTTGGATGTTGAATCTTAGCCTATTATTTTGGGCTAGTTGGTTGTAAATTGTAATATGGGCTATAAAATTGAAAAATAAATAGGGAGCTCAGTTGTTCTTATGTGAAATTTTCATTAATAAATATCCAATTAAATGTTACCAGCAGTTTTTTTTATCCATGACAAACGGGTCAATATTAAAATACCCAAAACTAACTGTATTTGGGTAAAATTAATGTCTCGATTCTTATTTTTTCTCTGTCACAAATTCCTAATCGTAATAGTACCTGTTTGCAACAAATTTATGCAGAGAAAAATAAAACTGCAATCACAAACAACTATAAAGAAAAAATAATTTTATTGATAAACATTGCAGGTTACAACTCTGTTTATCCCTTGATTCTTCCCTCCGATTTATTCTACGTGATTCGAGGGCCTTGGCGGCGTATTTCTCGAACGTAGGATGATGCTGACCTACTCAGATGTATTTGATCTCTATGAAAAGGAAGAACATCCGTTGATCATTTCGGCGGCTTTGAGAAAGACAATATTTGATGTCTTTGATCTTTTTGTGAATATTCCATGATTTTTTAATGGAACTTCGAGATTGTCTTTAAAGGATACATGTAGCCTTATTTATAGGCATAAATTAGGGTTTTGGTGAAGTAGCCACCAAGTAACCCTAATAGACTCCTAATATTTCAAGAGTTGTCTTAAAATTAGGACTTATCTTGATCTGTTAAAATTTTAGTGTCTACAAATGCCCCCTACTTCAAGGTTTGTCGAGGTGTAGGCTTGCTGAAATTTGAAGATGAGACTTGAAGCACCCGACCATCGCAACAGATAACTTGAAACTTTGAATTTTTGATTTGCAGGAGGAAGAGATGAAGGACAGAACTTGTCCCACTGCGCGTGCCAATTTGTTTGCAACAAATTTATGCAGAGAAAAATAAAACTGCAATCACAAACAACTATAAAGAAAAAATAATTTTATTGATAAACAGTACAGGTTACAACTCTGTTTATCATTTGATTCTTCCCTCCGATTTATTCTAAGTGATTCGAGGGCCTTGGCGGCGTATTTCTCGAACGTAGGATGATGCTGACCTACTCAGATGTATTTGATCTCTATGAAAAGGAAGAACATCCGTTGATCATTTCGGCGGCTTTGAGAAAGACAATATTTGATGTCTTTGATCTCTTTGTGAATATTCCATAATTTTTTAGTGGAATTTCGAGATCGTCTTTAAAGGATACATGTAGCCTTATTTATAGGCATAAATTAGGGTTTTGGTGAAGTAGCCACCATGTAACCCTAATAGACTCCTAATATTTCAAGAGTTGTCTTAAATTAGGACTTATCTTGATCTGTTAAAATTTCAATGTCTACAGTACCTTAAGCTCCTTTCCAAATCCCTAATCGCACATGATGCACCCATCGATTATCAGTGGTTTCTTTATCATCTCAAGACGATAATCACACATTCTTCAACTATTTCTTTATATTCATCACCTATATTCATCATTCAAGACTGATATAAAGAGTAGTTTTGATTTTTGTTGGGCTAGAAGTAGCTACTATTTATTAACGTGATTCTTGTACTGGTAAGTGCCGATTTGTGCATGTATTTTTTTTGTCGTGTTATATTGGAAAATTGATACAAAAGCAAGGGTTTCTAATTTCGAAAAACGGTGTGTGGAGAAAATATTTTTCTTTGAGACATGAATTCACTTCAAACTTGAAGCTTAGATGAAATAAATCCAAAAAAAATAAAATTAATCAAATTAAATAAAGGAACAACAAAATTGCAAAAGGAACAACAAAATTGCAAAAGTTAGAAGCTTTCTAGATGGCCTGGCATAAAATCAGATGAGAGCTTTGGAACTTTGAGAATGAAGATGAGGCAACAGTAAACATGGAAGAAAATAATGAAGATGAAATAATGGGAAGGGAGTTTGGGAGATTAAATATGGGGCCAACCGTAATTTTATTACCGATGGAGAAGGAGTTTTGCCAAAAAAAAAAAAAAAGTTGCCTCACGCGCCTATCAGATGAGGCAACTCACTCTACGTGACTAGCCAGCTTTTGTGTTAAAGTGACACATAAGCAACAGGGTTGGAGTGCCAAAATGAAATAAGGTTGAGATAGAGTGCCAAAATAAAAAATAGTGCAAAGTTAAATGGGAATGTATTTGGCCAAAAAAAAAAAACTAAGTTCTTCAAACTTTTATTTTTCAAAAACAGTGAAATGAATATAAACACATTCGTCGTGGGGATATGACCACATCTCCAGATCAAGTTGAGAATGGAACATTGCGTCTAGAGAAATCTAAGGGTATAAGGTTTGGTGGACTGCTCCTTGACATTTTGCCAAGTTAATGCAACTGCATAACGCATACATTAACGGGGTAACTGACCCGTTAGCAACTGTATTAGACAGAGAGCTCATACCCAGACCAACAGAGGAAAGACTAATATTAACATTCCCACTTTCCAGCCTGAAGAAATTAGATATGACAGCCAAATTACACACAATTTATTTCATTTCGTAAGAAATAAGAGATGCCACTCTAGATTTTCAATTTCATACTTCCATCAAATCTGCAGGTACCAGACAAGCGCATGAAACATGGCGCGTGCTTCTAAGCAAAATGACAGAAGTGATGCAAACTACACCAGTAATTAATTAAAATGCTTCTCTCACAAGGGCCAAAATTGAGGATCAAATACATATGTAACATTGTAGGAAACGATCTGGTGGTTGAACACAACTCTCTTCTGCTCACAACGTCGCAGCAGCAATGCAGCGAGAACTTAAGGGAAGAGCAACTAATTTGGACCCTGTGCTTTACTCTGGTAAAGTGATTCTAAACATTCTTTGGCTCTATGCACCTTTGACTGAAGATAAAAACTTCCATTCTTAGCATTCCTCTCAAACAAGTTATCGTATCTCTGCATACAAAATGAACAAATTAAGCACCTTCAAGTGTCAATGCACAGAAACATCACCGTGGGGGGAAATGATATATCAAAATCACCAAAGACAAACCTGCAACACGTCTTCCCATGATGAATGCTCTGCAACCCCAAGAATTTGCCTAGCCTCTGACTCTGTCATATTTTTGCTTGCTCTTTTAATATTCTGTACTGCTTCTTGAGCAACACCGTTTTTGGACGCATCTACCATTAACCAAGCATGGTTCGATTGTCAATCCACAAGATTGCAAGAGATAAAAATGCCAAGCTTCAAGCAAATTAGCTAATGGAATAATTAACCTATCACATGTTCCATCGATTCTTTTGCAATCTAGGGGCATTGTCACTTGAAGGACCATTGTTTTTTAATCTAGGAGCATTATAACTTGAAGGAATCAAAATAGGTTTTGTTTGCAACATTACATGGCGGAAGATTCACATTCACGCTTCTCCCCCAAGTAAAATTGTGCTTATGCCTCAAAAATAAGAGCCATAGAAAAGCTACTTAAGCCCCTCCTCCCCTCCCCCTCACAAAGGGGAAAAAAACAAATAGTAGTAGAAAAGAGATATTTTCTATCCGAAAGAAAAGATTAGTGTATGTCAATGAAAACTTACTTGCGAGAGCTTGACGATATGCCTGGGCGAAGGCCCTTACCATTATTCCAGAACCCATAACAAGCAAGTTTGCAAGGATTCTCGCAGCCTGCAATGAGAAGACGTGAGAGGTGTTAAAGTAACAAGCAACCTTTTATATAAAATATACTCTTACTATAGTTAACCTAGAAAAGACATTCGGAGGAAAAATCTACAGTTGTGTATGGATGGGAAGATGTCTGTAAGCTTTCCATTTCGTTTTCCGAGGAACTCCAAACTTTGAAAACCTATGTCTTTTTCTGGAAGATTTTACAGACTAAAAAGGAGCTTATTTGGAAATAACAGCCGATGCTATTTCAGAGTTCCATTCATAGTAGATGGAAGATAGATATTTTATGTGTTGTAGTTATTAAAAAAGTTAAAAAATAGACATGTATTTGCATCAGTACGCACCATTCAAGGGCAAGCATTTTTAAAAAAAAAAATCAAGGTAAGAGAAATATTATTGAAACAGCACCAAGTAGGCATATTGAGGTGTGCAATACAGAAAGCTCAAGCTCAACTTACTGCGTAAGGAGTTGAGAAATTCTAATCAGACTATCAACTTCAGACATTCAAATGCATACATCTTCTATTGAAATATAAGATATTCACCTTTTCTATCTAGAAGATAGACATAATTGCTTCATTTCTAAAATTTCCATCACTTAATTCGATGTATATTTTCAGTTTCTGTAGGCTCGTACTATAAACTAAAACATGCTATGTTGCTCCCCGCGTGAATCCATACAACGATAACTACACCTAAATTCCACACCAGTTGCACTCGGCTATATGAATCTGCTATAACAGCTTTGCTCTATTTGGGCTTATATCATTCCGATACGTAGTAATTTGTCTTCTAAAATAAATGAAGAATTCTCTAAAACTAGAGAAACCGTACAATGAGGAAAAAAAATCGTTAATCAGACTAAAAGGAATCCTAACAAACATTTAACCTAATACAAAAGTAGCAACAACATAATTCCAACTAGTTGGTATTACTTATATCCATCTTTTAGTTCCATTGTGTTCTTAGCTAAATCTATGTGATTTTATGTGACAATACCACTTTATGTGATTTTAGGTCTACTTGGACCATTTTAAGAACTTCCCGTTACCGTGGGGTCATGGGTCTATGAGCGATGAATTTGAAACTCTTTGTAGGATATGGCCAAATCTTCTTAGGTGACCTTTTCTTATTTATCATTTATGTGTGTTACTAGCATCCTATGTCGGATGTGATTATTTCTAATTTTATCTAATAATATTATATGACCACACATCCATATTAACTTTCATATTCTCTGACACTCAGCTTATCACTCAAATATACCATTACTGGTCACAATTCTTCATACTTGTCTTTTGCTTTGGTAGGTATTTCCAACGGCACAGCTATCCTGTATACTCCTCCAGGATCCTGTGCCCGTTAATAGATGAGTATTCTGTGTAATTTCTTAAAGTTAATAAGGGAATTTGGTAAAACTGACAGAAGCATAGAATGTTAAGACAAATACAAAAATCTTCAATTGAAAAAAACCCACAGCCACCTTGTCTATCCCCCCCCCCCCCCCCCCC